AGAGCGCGCGGTTGCCCGCGTCGCGCGGTCCTCTTGAGCTGGCGCTGGAGCCCCGCCCCTACATCTCCGGGCGGCGCCTCTGGCGCGCCACTGCGCGCCCTGGAAGGGGCCAGGAGAGCTCGGCCTCGAATCGCTGAGCCGGATCGGCGATCGAAACGCATCGGATCGGCGGGAATCGGCAGCCGAGCCGGGATCCGTCGAGTCGGCGGAAGCCGGCAGGCCGGTGTGCCTCCAGCAAGGAATCGGAGGCCACATCGGAGTCCCGAATCGAGTCGAATCGGAATCGGAAGCCATCGAAGTCTAATCGGATCGAACCGGAGGAGTCGGAACGAGCCCTGGGAAGGGGTGTGGGGCGGGTTGGAAGCTGGGCGAGGGCTGGCAAATCCGCGGCTGCTAAAACGGTCTTCCCCCGGAAGAAAGCAAAACAGATTCCTGGAATCAAGCTCAAACGGGCTGCTTCCAGGAAAAAACAATTTCACGGAGCTCCGTTTTATCGGGGATCTTGTGACCCGGGTCAATCCAGACCCGGGTCAGTCAGGCCTTGCGGGATCCTGCAAGATCCTGCACGATCCCGCGCCCAAACGCGGGTCAATGCGAAGGATTCTGCAAGATCCTGCAGGATCCTGCACCCAAGCCCGGGCCAATGCGACCCTGGCCCTGCAGGATCCTGCAAGATCGGACGCTCCGGCTGGCCCCCGTTTGCACTGACCCCCGTTTCCAGGCTCCCGATCTTAGCAGCCGCGGCTTTGCCAGCCGCCGTCGCCCGGCTCCTGAGCGGGGGGGCTCCAGCGCCGACCATTACGAGGTGCGCGCGGACCTCCGAAAGCTTTTTTTTTTTTTTGTGTGTTTTAGTGTTTTTTTTGTTCTTCCCCCTTTTTTATAACATGCATTTTTCTTTTTTGTTGTCCTCGATGCGGGCACGCGCCTGTGCGTGCCCTGGGCCTCCGACGTCCTGTCCGTTGAGGAGCGGAAGGCCTGGAGCTCTTGGTACCACCCTTCGCGCTGCTCTATTGCTGTTCTGAGGTCTGCGATCAGGTCGGGCATGCCCCCCTGCATTTTGTTTTTTTGTTTTTTATTTGTTTTTTTGGTGTGTTGTGTGATATATATATGTATATTTTTTATATATATACATATATATTTGTATTTCTATTCATTTGTTTATTTATCTGTTATATTTTAAACAGATGTTAAGCCAACATTCTTTTGGACAAATAGAAATACCCCCAACATGCCCCAACATAGTTCAAACATAATCGAATTTTCGCTCCCAGACTATTTATGGGCTACTTTCGAATATTACCCCTCTTGAGGGAGAGGCCCGACTCAAGTCTGCGACGACCTCCCCTGAGATCCGACGCCGCGACGCAAAATGCAACATCATCGGCGATCGCGACCAAAGCCCTGGATCCAAGCTCTCTGCGGCGTTTCTCGAGCTGGATCGATCTGAGAGGGCTCCAGGGCCCGAATCCTGGCGGGGTCGCCCAGTGTGGAACAAACATCGAGACGCCTGGATCTCAGGATCCTGGGGGCCCAAACCTAAAACCATTCGAGCAAGTCCTCGCACTGCTCTCGGGCCGCTGGAGGGCCCGGGCACGCGCCTCGCACGGAACACGGGCTCGACCCTCCTCCTCTTGGCCTGGACTCCGCTGAGAATCCGCCCCCAGACTCCGACGAGCTCGACGCCCTCCCCCGAAGCATTCGATGCCGTGTTAAGGGGAACGAAGAATGACATAGTGAGCGTCTTTTTTATTTCGGCGTTTCGACATTGGGAGGAAGAGGGGGGGAAGGAGGGGGGTCTGGCTCCGGACCTCTGCTGAGTGCGACTGTTTGCGACAGTGCGTCCATTGTGGGGGAGGCTCCACCTGCTCGAAACAGGCGCCAAAAACAGCCAAGATCTACTCCAGTGGGGGGAAAAGGGTTTTGTAGGGGAACCGAAAATGACGTAAACATAAAAACTCGGAAGTCCGCGCGGATTTCTCGGATCGGCGCTGGGGCCCCTCGGCGGCGCCTCCAGCGCCGCCCCTGGCGCGCTCCGCGCGCCAAGGAGGGGGGTCCAGCGCCGATCCGAGAAATCCGCGCGGACCTCCGAGTTTTTATGTCTATGTCACTTTCTGTTCCCCTGTTTTGGGGCCCGCGCCGATCGGCAAGACAATTAATACAAAACGATCACATAAACATAACATTAAGTCGAGCGCGTCCCCATACAGGGGGATTTTCGACGAAGAATCAAACATACCCCAGAAATGCCCCAAAATAGTTAAAACATGTTCCAAAAATAGTCCCCAGACTATTCTTGGATTATTTTGGGGGTATTTTTTTGTTTACTTTTCGTCGAAAATCCCCCTGTAGGGGGGGCAGGCCAGTTTTTTTTTTTTTTTTTTTTTTTTTTTTTTTTTTTTTTTTTTTTTTTTTTTTTTTTTTTTGTTTTTTGTTTTTATATATATATATATGTATATACACACATATATATACAAATGTATATATATATATATATATATATTCTTCGTCGACAATCCCTCCACCGCGGGAAGGGAGAGGATGCATACCGGCGGTGTGCCTCCACCGCGGGAAGGGAGATCTCGACCTCGGCGACGGTAGCAAGAGTCTGGCCTCGGGGCGACCGAGGTGTGACACCCAGCACCGGAGTCCAGGATCCTCCTCCCCCTGTGGAGGCAACCCTCTTGTGTTGGTGCTGGTGTTAAGTCGGGCCTGTCCCCCTACAGGGGGGATTTTCGACGAAAGCCAAAAAAATAATCCAAAAATAACAAAAAATAATCCAAAAATAGTCTGGGGACTAATTTTGAATACTTGTTGACTTTTTTGTGTATTTTTGGGGGTATTTTCCATTTTTCGACGAAAAGCCCCCTGTAGGGGGACAGGCCCGACTTAACCCTAGTGTTCTTGCCAGCACGGGGTCCCCCTGGCAGTCCCCACCCTTTCCCCGTTCGTGCCGTAGGCCGTGGCAGCCCAGGACCGACTTTTCATCCCGAGTCGCTTCCTCGACGGCCCACCGGGGCCCGGCCGGAAGCGGTGCCAACCCGCTCCTCTGGCATGCAATGGGAGAGCAACGGAGGAGGAGGAGGAGGAGGAGGAGGAGGAGGAGGAGGAGGGAGGAGGAGGAGGAGGAGGAGGAGGAGGGAGGAGGAGGAGGAGGAGGAGGAGGAGGAGGAGGAGGAGGAGGAGGAGGAGGAGGAGGAGGAGGAGGAGGAGGAGGAGGGCGGGCGGTGGGCGGTGGGCGGGCGGCGGCCCAGCGGCGGCGGGCGGTGCCCGCCTGGCGGGAAGGCGGGCGCGGCCCTGCCGGCGGCCACCGCCTCCGAGATCCGCCGGAGGGCCGGCGAGGCATCCGCGGCGGCGAGGCCTCCGCGGTCGGGCGGCGCGGCCGTGGTCGCCGCCGCGGCCGTGGTCGTCGCCGTCGTCGCCGCCGCCGTGGTTGCCGCCGTGGCCGCCGCCGTGGCCACCGTCGCCGCCGTGGTCGTCGCCGCCGTGGTCGTCGTGGTCGCCGTTGCGCCGTCGTCGCCGCTGTGGTCGTCGCCGTGGCGGTGGCCGTGAATGCGGCGGTGGTCGTCGGAGGGGGATGGGGGATGGAGGAGTGGGAGGTGGGAGGGGATCGGGAAAAAGACAAGCAGGAGGAGCGGAGGGGGAAGGGGACGAAGGGTACCAGCATGGGGGCAGGAAGAAGACAAGGATGCCAGGGGGGAGCACGGAGAGGAGGCTGGAAAGACAGGAGCCACAAGAGCGCTCTTCGAGGGGAGGGGGGGGACTGATATGGGAAGTGTTGAGGAATGGGGGTGGGGAGGGGAGGAGGGGAACGGAGACAGGGGGACGGGAGGGGGGAGGGAACAGGCGTCAGAGAAGGGGGCGCAGAGAGAGAAGCAGGGTACCCAACTTTAGCTTTTGAGGACGAGGCACTGTGCGCGCGGGCTCCGCTTGTGGTATTCAGCGTGGGGTATTTGGCGGACCAAATGTCAGTCTGCTGTGCGCGCTCTGTGCTCTACGCCTCTTTGGTATACAAAGTTCAATGTTCTACGAGTGCAGCGTGCGCATGCTCGACACAACATTCTCTGCCGCGAAACCCTAGGGACGGGGCAGGAGGGGATGGGAAAGAGGGGAGAACGCGAGGATGGGAGGGATCGGACTCGGAGGGCGCGATGAGAGGGGAGGATGATGATGATGATGAGGAGGATTAGTTCTAAACGCAAGACGCATCAAAGATGTTGCAATACATCCTCCCTCAAAATTCCCTCTTCACATTTCCCTACATACATGTTTTTCATTGCGAAGCATGCCACATTTGAAGACAACCGTCTGGACATCCTCAAACGTGCCAACACACCAACGCCGCGAATCAACATGACAGTTGCGTTTTTTTTTTTTTTTTTTTTTTTTTTTTTCTTTTTTTCTCTCTCCCCCGGGGCCACTGCTTGTTTTTTGTTTATCGTTTATAGTCGAAGAATCCGCCACCCCGCACGGGGTAGTGAGTGAAAGCGACAGCAAAATAGATGAACTCAATGATCGTCATACAAGAGGCGCCTGGCTCGCGACTTCTCCGCGCCCCTCTTGACCCAGCGGCGCAGCAGTTTCAGGGGCGACACGCCCGTTGCCGCAGGCGTGAACCGGAGGTAATTGGTAGTGCGGTACACGCCGTAATTGACCAGCGCCATTCGCACGACATCTTCTGGAGAAGTTCCTGGGTCCAGGAGGAAGAATGCACCAATCCAGCAGGTCTGTCTCGTTGCAGATGGCTCCACACAGCAGGACATATACTGTAGTGCTCGATGCTGTCGTCGCCGCTCTTGCAGCCGAGTAAGCACTGCCACGGCTCGCCGACCCCATCTTTCTCTGCGTGCCTCATCCGACGACGGGTGGCCCAGCCGTTGAATAACGTGCGGAGGTATGCCGACGCCACCCTGGGCGGGCACCACTTATGTAGAATTACGAAAGCCTCCTGGACACGCGCCACCAGCGCCGCTTCGTCGCCTGGAAACTTCCACCGGGCAAGCTTGTGAGCAGTGCGCTGTAGATGGTCAGGTCGGCAATGGGGATTGATCAGATCGGTTGCAATAGACTGGAAGCTGGCTGGACCAAACCTAGCAGGGCCGTTCAGCACCCTCCGGATCTGGCTGCGGCTGATCCCGTCCTTCTCCAGTTGCTGCTCTGTGCGGTGCAGGATTGCGAACAAAGAATTGGCGTGCCAGCTCCCGAACGGGCCTTGCAGTACTCCTCCATCAAGCATGCGCAACTCTTCGACGCGCTCTTTGCAGTCCGGGGCGACAGTTTCAATCACTCTCAGCTTAGCGGCCCGTGCAACGCAGCGAGGTTGAGCGAATGAAAACTTGATCCCGAATGCCTCTCGTAAATTGCACAAATCTTCAGGCATGATCCAGTTCCCAGGGCCCGGAGCCAGGCGGCGTAACGCCCAAGAAAAGATGTTATCCATGTCCCCCGGCAAATCCTGAAGCTGCATCACGAAACTCAATACCGATATGATGAACGTGTTGAACACAATGCTGTTCAAGAAAAGTCCAAGGTGCCTTTGTGCCCAGCTCTGCACGCGCTTCGTGAATTTCTCGAGCGGCTTATCCCATGACATGTTGCCGGCGCCTGGCCCCACCCAGTAGCCGAGGTATTTTCCGCGAAGGGAAATCAAAATGTCCCTCCACTGCGGCGCCACCTCGCGAATGAGCGCCCTGACGTTGGACTCCGACTGGAAGCGCCATAATGGGATAAACACTGTCTTCTTGATATTGAGAGCCAACCGGGATATCTTTTCAAATTCAGAGAACAATTTGCTGATAACCGGAACCGCCACCGCATAATCTGCGATTACTGCAGCCGTGTCATCTGCGAACGCTCTCACTACTTCGTGCCCAGAAAGATGCCGCGAGAGCTCTCGAAGCAGGATATCTGCACAAATCGCGAACAGCAACGGTGATAACGGGCAGCCCTGCCGGACTCCGCTCTCCACGGTGATGCTGTCGAAGAACTGGCCGCCCACTTTGATCTCATGCTTGTTCCGGACATAGAACATTTTCAACGCGCGTATAAATTCTTGCGGGAGTCCAACAGCCTCCAGCGACTCCCACATGAAGGAGTGGTCCATGCTGGGGAACGCCGCGCGGAAGTCGAACAGCAGAATGCATCCCCGGCGCGACGTCAGGGAAATCTTCTGGGCGGCGAAATCGATCTCCAGAATGTTCCTCAGCATCTGCCTGCCTGGAATGAACCCCCTCTGCGACAAGGAAATACGATGAGCCACTGCCTTCTCCAGCGCCCTCCGGAAGATAGATGCAAGAATGCGGTTGCTCGCGTCCACCACGGACAGCGGGCGCGTGTTCCCCGGCTCGTAGCACTCCGCGCCATGACTGTTCCCCAGCGCGTGTTCCCCGAATCAACATGACTGTTGCGTCCTGACAAGCCTAAATGAATCCAGAACGCCATTCCTGTGACTTCAGCCCCGCGAATCAGTGTGACTGTTGCACACGAATGTGCACGCCGCTAATGCGAGGGCCACATGTAGAAAAAGGAATCGCCCTCCATCCTTGAGATGGTTGGTGACGTTCAAGACGAATGTGCGCGGCGCTAAGCGAGAACCACGCTTTGAAAACGGGCAGCCCTCCATCCTTGAAGCGGCTGCACGCATTCAAGACGAACGTGCGCGGCGCTAAACGAGGGCCACGTCTCGAGAACGGGCCGCCCTCCATCCTTGAAGCTGTGGCAGACTTTTGGAACGAACGTACGTGAAGTTGAGGCGAGAGCCGCATTTCGAAAACGGGCCGTTCTTCATCCTTGAAGCTGTTGCAAACTTTTGAAACGAACGTGCGTGTCGCTAAGGCGAGGGCCGCCCGCCATCCTTGAAGCTCTTGCACTACGGTCGGGTATGCCCCCCTGCAGGCGGATCTTGAAGGAACAGTTAAAGGCAGCCACAAATGACTCAAACAGAGTCAAACAATAAGCAACACATCGTCCCCATTTTTTCCTGCCAACGCATCTTTTGGAGAAAAGGGGGGAAGGGGAAACGGAAGAGGACGCGGGCAGCCGATGATCAACGTCCCTCAAAAATCATCTCAATGCAGTGTCGAAATCCTCGCATGAGCGCACGCTCTGCGGCAATATGCCCGACGCGCGCGCGCGCGCGTGTGTGTGTGTGTGTGTGTGACTATTTCGGAATCTCCCACCTGTAGAAAGACACGCCCGACGTAATCTTACAACTTTCGAGCCCCACGACCGTAAACACCGAGGCAGTCTCGAGCGAATCGCCCAGCCCGCCCTGCCGACACGCCTGGGGGTGCGACAGGGGGGAACTCGCCACAAGGAACGAGGAGGGATGATCTGGAGGAGGAGGAGGAGGAGGAGGAGGAGGAGGAGGAGGAAGAAGTGGACCAGGAGGAGGAAGAGGAGGAGGAGGAGGAGGAGGAGGAGGAGGAGGAGGAGGAGGAGGAGGAGGAGGAGGAGGAGTAGGAGGAGGAGGAGGAGGAGGAGGAGGAGTGGGGGCGAAGCCAGTAAAGAGTTGAGGGGGGAGAGCGAGGATAGGGAGGGGAGAAAGGGAATAGGTGAGGAGGGGGCAGGCGAGGGGGAAAAAGGGATTGGGGCGGAGGGAAGAGGGAACATGTCATGGAAACAAGACGGGGGGAGGGAAGGAGGAGGGCGGGAGAAAGGAGGACGAGGATTAAAAAAGAATGCGAGGGGACCCTCCGTCCACCTCCTCCTCCTCCTCTTCGTCCTCGTCCTCCTCCTCCTCCTCCTCCTCCTCCTCCTCCTCCTCCTCCCCCTCCGCCCTCCTTCCCCACTCCGTTCATCCCTCCTCGCCGCTTTCTATCCCTCATCCACCTCCACTCCCTGCTCCGTCCCTCCGCTCGAATCTAACAAGCCATGCTGTGCGGGCACATCGGCTGCAGTGCATTGGGCGTGTGAAAACACCTGCAACTTCATAGCGGCTCGCCTGCTTAGCGCACGAAGGAACGCGGAGGGGGGGAAACGGGGAAGAGAAAGGAATCCGCACTATCCCTTGGACGATCCCGTGCGGACTCCCAGCAATTCTTCCCGAAGCGTACGTGGCCTCTGGACGACTGAAATATCACTGAGAGATGGGGAGGGGAGGACGAGGGGCGGTTGGGCATCAACGTCCACAAAAAGGATTCTGAGTGCCAGGGTGATGCCAGCGAGCTGCCTAAACTACTGGGTCCAATCGCGCTAGAGTCTCGAAACCAATCTCCGGCGAACTCCAGCTCCAAACAAACCCAACAACAACACATACATGCCAATACGGCAATATTCCATCTTGCGCCCCTGGCCAAATTTCGGACAGCTAGACTTGCACTCACTAAAATTAATGACCTTTTGGAAGAATGCCACCACGTCCTCTACGAATATGTCTGGTTGCTCGAAGGCGAAGAAATGTCCTCCGACAGAAGGCGACGTTACACGCTTTAAGTTGTAACTCAGCTCAGCCAGAATTCGTGGAAACTTGAAGATCTCACTCGGGCTCATAATCCGCCGACCTCCGCTTGCTGGGGGTACGTAAGAAGGGTGCGAGACATTTGGCTGCCCGCCCCTCCCCGCTTCTTCCTCCCTCAGGGGTCCAACGTCTCGCTCGAGGGGGTGGGGGTGGGGGGGCTTCATCCCCCACTGCTCGGCGCGCCTCCAGGGCCCTGGGAGCCTCAAAATCCGGCCTCCGTCGCCGGCAAGGTGCCCCAGCTGGCCTACGGAGGCCCCCAAGACGCCCCCGCCCGCGAGGCCCCCAGAGGCGCCAGGGCGCCCAAGAGGGCCCCAAGACGACCGCCAAGAGGGCCCAAGAGGGGAAACTCGCAGGTCCCCCCCCTCCTCCTCCTCCTCCTCCTCCTCCTCCTCCTCCTCTCCTCCTCCTCCTCCTCCTCCTCCTCTCCTCCTCCTCCTCCTCCTCCCTCCTCCTCCTCCTCCTCCTTCCTCCTCCTCCTCCTCCTCCTCTCCTCTCCTCTCCTCCTCCTCCTCCTCCTCCTCCTCCTCCTCCTCCTCCTCCTCCTCCTCCTCCTCCTCCTCCTCCTCCTCCTCCCCCGAGAAGGCCCCCGCCCGAGCCCCCAGGGGCCCTGGCACGCCTCCCACGAGGCCGCCTCCGAGGCCTGCAAAAAGGTCCCAGAGAAACCACGCAACAAAACGTAGAGGAAACGACAATTCAGCAGCACTTGCACGCAAACAACACGATCTAAGCATTTTCCTAGGGTGGAGGGCTCAGGGTGAAATCCATATGGGCCTTTGCACCTCGAAAATCAATCCGTCTTGTGATTCACGTTTTGCAGGCTCAAACCTCGAACATCCATGGCAACACCATTTCAAATCCCACCAGCCCTCTGGGCGTAGGTGATTCCGGGAGTTTCCTCTTCCATCTTCCCTGCTTCCCCTTCGGGGAGGGGTTTACCCCTCCCCCTAACCCCCTCCCCTGGACTTGGACGGGGGGGGCCGCTGGTAGTTAGAGCGTACAAAACGGCCTCGGCGAGGAAGCCAAAATCATCGATTTTACTAGGGTTTTGGCACCATTTTGGCCTCTTGGGGGGGCAGGGCTAATTAACCCCACCCTCTTCTTTGATCGATCTCCTCCAAGATGGCCCCAAGAAGCGCCCAGGAGGCCCCAAGAGACTTCCAAAAGGCCTCCAAGAGGCCCCAAGAGGCCGCCATGAGGCCCCAAGAAGCCCCCAAGAGGCTCCAAGAGGCTCCCAGGATGGTTCCAAGAGGCCTCCAAGAGGCTCCAAGAGGCCGCCATGAAGCTCCAAGAGACCCCCAAGAGGCCCCAAGAGGCCTCCAACAGGCCCCCAAGAGCCCCCCAAGAGGATCCCAAGCGGCCTCAAGAGGCCCCCCCGAAGCACCCAAGACGCCCAAGAGCCCCCATTGACCGCCAAGAGACCCCCAAGACGCCCGAAGAGGCTTCCAAAAGGCTTCCAAGAGGCATCCGAGCGGCATTCAACCATCCACCCAGCGTCATCATTCTCCTCATCCCTCCTTCGCTCGGTTCCTCGCCACCCCCTCATCTATCCATCTGGCCTCCTCTTCCGCCTCATCCTTTGCACGGATCGGCTGTCCCTCTCGTTGCTCCCCCACTTCCCTGATCTCTTCAACTTGCCTGGACATCGTTTCTGGATGGGCTGGTGGGGACACTTTTTTGATTAGCGGCCCGCAAGGAAAAGTCCAGAGGGCGTAAAGACCGAGGCTGGGGCACAACGCAAAATAATTAGCGCGAGAATGCGCGAAGTGCACATGCAGCGAGGAGACGCCCTGTCGGCGCCAGCTCGGGAAGAAGGCCAGACCAGCCGAAGGCGGCAAGCTGGTGGGGACACGCGAAGCGTCAAGAATTTCACCCTTTGCCACCCTTTGCCCTCCACCCAAAAAATGCTCGCACGATAGGAGACGACAAACAGCACGTGCGAAACCGGAAACAGCGCGCCTCCTCTCCTCGACTTTCCTTCGTTCGACCACCAAACATTCATTTGTCCTCACATGTCCAGCTTCTGAACATGTCCACGCCAGCCCGAAAGGCCACCCAACCGGACCAAGAAGGTCGCATAGTGCCTACAAGATTGAAGGCCGCAGTATGGCGTCAAGATAGCTCGAAAGGCCCCCAGGAGAGCCCCAAGAGGCTCCCAGAGAGGCCCAAGAGGAGAGCTCCAAGGAGCTCTGGAAAGGCTCCCACGAGGCTATCTCCGCGGGCTATACGGGGCCCCGCAACACACGTAGAGGCAGAGGAAACATACATCAGTTACAACTACGCGCGGGCTGTACGATGGGAAGCAGCAGACAGAAACACGAAATCAGAGGCCGCCCGCGTCCTCTTCTGGGGGGTCGACGGGACGGCTACGCCTCTTAAATGATACCCGTGGGCACCGCGATGTAGCCGTGGTAATTCAATGGAGATCCGAGGAAATATGCCTGCTTTCTCCTCGCCGGCGCATGCCCCAACGTTTCGTAGTAAATTCGGCACGAAGAGGCGATGGTCTGAGTAGTCCAGTAGACCATGACATTTGTTAGGATATCATCCTTGGTCAGGCCAGACTCTTCCGGCCCTGCACGACCACAGTCTGACCAGGACTGAAACTTCTCGAGCAGCCATGCCAGCAGGCCTGCAGGACTGTCGTTGAGGCCGAAGCTCAAACTCTGCGGCTTCGTGCCCTGGATGCGCTGGTACGCGGTCTCGTAGCGCAGGAAATACATCGTGTCTCTTACGCCCTGGCGCTCTGCAGAAGACCGGGTACAGTAGGGGCCAGGGGCCATTCCACGAGAAGCCTCCCACAAGACACACAACCCTGAGACCCCAGGGCGCCCCTCGATTCTTGGTGTGGGAACGTCACGCTCTCGACAACATAGCCACCGAAACCAGGGCACCCTGGAGGCGACCAGGGTGTTTCTTGGCATGGATCCCCACTGTTTGGCGGCGCGCACAGGGGGGTGGAGGGAGGGGGGAGGGCTTCTTAGAAGGTGGCTGCTTCTCAGAAGGCGCCGGCCTTACATCTATAGATACGGCCCGCGCCTTCTGAGAAGCTGGGGTGCTTCTAAGAAGCCCTCCCCCCTCCCCCTACCCCCCTCTGCGCGTGGCCGATCTTCTTCTTCTAGAGGGCAGAACATCCACATTGATGATGATGATAATCACCCCGACACGTGAGCCGTTTAGTAACCGCGCCCAAAGAAGGAACCGAACAGGGCAGGGCTGTTTCGTGGCGGAACTGTACCGACAAGAGCCCAAGCTTTCGGAGCTCCGCTCGAGTCTCTCGTCGGCGCCGGGCCCGCACCCCGCACGCCGCCCCCCGGCGCGCGGAGCGCGCGGAGGGCCGTGCGCGAGGCGCCGGCCCGGGTGTGTGGGGAAGGGGGTCGAGCTCGGAAGCTGACCCCAGCAGTCCGCGCGACCTCCAAAGGCTTCTGCCCGTGCCGTGGTCTGGTCTTCCGATTTGCTGGACATCGTCGCGAGCCCAAAGAGCAGCCGAAGCACGCCGTACAGATCGGACGGCAGGGCCAGCGGCGCTGGCATGTTCGTGTGGTACGCGACCTCGCAGTATCCGCCGCCCCACGCCTCCTCCTCCTCCTCCTCCTCCTCCTCCTTCCTCCTCCTCCTCCTCCTCTCCTCCTCCTCCCAGTCTTGCTTCTCTTCCTCCCTCCTCCTCTCTCTCCTCCTCCTCTCCTCCTCCTCCTCCTCCTCCTCCTCCTCCTCCTCCTCCTCCTCCTCAATACCCTTTCCGAAATAAAATCCCCTCCCCACCAACTGGGAAGGTCGCCTCGTCCTGATCCCGCCCTGGTCAGCCCTTTTCACCCATCCCAGAGCGCGGAGCACCCTGCTGGTCGACGGCCCGATCGGCTCTCCAACTACAACCCAAACTTACAAGCGGCCGTTCGGACGATCCAGACTACCAAAGCCGCGTCTCGACGAGGCGCAACTTACGGAGAACACGCCGTGGGCGGAAATCTGGAGAAAACAATGAATGAACGTTTAAAAACCTTCGATGAGGGTTTGAGGAGGAGGAGGAGGAGGAGAAGGAGGAGGAGGACTAGGAGGAGGAGGAGGAGGAGGAGGCGGAGGCGGACGAGGAGGAGCAGGATGAAGAGGAGGAGGAGCATGAGGAGGAGGAGGAGGAGGAGGAGGAGGAGGAGGGAGGAGGAGGAGGAGGAGGAGGAGGACGAGGAGGAGGGCGAGGAGGATTCTCCACTCGGACCGTGCCCTGACGATGGGTGACGCCAAGGAACCAGCCCCCACAAGAGGGTTGAGGTGACCCCGCGGTGGCCTACGCGGAAGCGAGAGACCAAGAGGGGTCAAGATCTCAATCGGAGTCACCAAACACCGTGGTGCTTACACGGGCAGCTTGGACGAGAGGGGCCTCGTCCTCTTCAAGGATGAGAGCCTCACTCACCTCCTGGAGCTGCCCGCCAGGCTGCGCATCCTCCTCGTTGGGAAGAAGGGGAACCTGGCCATACGAACAATTCTGGGAACGGGTGCTTGCCTCGGACCCTCCAACGCATGGGAACACCACACGACGACACGGCTTGACGACACGGCCGTGCTGGGGGACGGGTGCCACAAGACCCTCTGCCACTGAGGCGGGAAGGTCGGGGGCCTCGGGGGCCTCATCTTCGCCAAGCAAACGGTCGGCCTCAACGTGCACTTCCTGCAATCGAGGGTGCCTACCACGCCCGATGCGGGACCAGCCGTCCCTGTTCTCACGGGTGGGCCTGCGGTTGCACTCTTCACCCGGGAGGACCAGCGGGCCCAGCGTGGTGTGAGCCCTGCAAGCCGCGCAAACAAAAAACGGATAATGGTCAGACCACTGAAACGACATCAACTTGCGCGCACGGTCGCTGACCCCTTGGGTTGCCTCAAGAACCCGCCCGCAACAACCCGAAGGCGAGGGACGGCCATTTTGGCGCTGGTGCCTGACGCACGTGCATCTCCAATAACTACGATGCCAAGCCTAATCGTGATCCCGAGAGGTGGCATCGCTAACATCAATCTTAGGCTTCCTGGAGAGCCCCAAATTCCGTGAGATCAACTCAGGGCCACAAGTGTCGGAGCATCGCTCCTAGGCGCACTGCAGACTTGGCCACGCGAGCCTGTCACGTCAGAGGGTCTCGCTCGCTCGCAGATGGTCGAGGGTGGAGACTCAACCCCGTCTTGGCCGCCCTGTCGGCAGCAGCATTACCAATGGTGAACAACACAACATCCTTGTCAGAGTGGGCGTCGCCCTCCAGGACGCGGACCTTCACCTTGCTTCTAAGCACCAGCGACGTACCCACCCCCTTCTCCACGCGAGGCGTATACTCGCCTGAGCGCTCCATACGAAAGACCACATCTCCAAATATGCCCGATCTGCGCTGTCCTCATCTCCGCCGTGCCTCCCACGAGCCTGCGAAAATGGCGACGAATGCGCACCTCGTGGCCTCCCAAAGAACCGCGAAGTCTCGGCTGTACCCGCGTGGTCCCCGACTCCGCTGGGCCTCCCAGGAGCCAACGGAACCGGCGACAATTGCATCTCAAGTGGGTGCGCGTGGCTCTTGACCCCGCCAGACCTCCCAAGAGACCACGAACATGGTGACAATGCCGCGTTCCACGTATTGAACACCCTCCAGACATATCCCCATGTCTTCATGCTTCTGGAGCTCCTGGAAAACCTCCTGCACAAAACCCTGGATGTCCTGGAGTTTAAGCGCGGAAGCGCCGAGGCGTTCCGAGTTGGGAGGCTCCAAGAGGAAACATCCAGCTTCGCGAAATTGAGGTCGAGATGGCGATGATATGCTAGTCGGAGGTTGGGGGGTGAGATCGAAGTGGAACGGAGAGCCCCCCTACCGGGAAATCGATTTCGGTTTCGTGTTCGTGCGTGCCGTGCGGGCGAGGCGAAGCTGCGTGGGCGGGCGAGAGAAAGTCTCCTGTGGCTGAGGCGCGGCCGGACCAAATGTCTTCCTTCCGGGCGACCGGGGGCCCGCGGTGTCCCGCCGGTGTCCCGCTGGTGTCCCGTGTGGCTGAGGCGCGGCCGGACCAAATGACTCCCTTCCGGGCGTCTGGGGGCCCGCGGTGTCCCGCCGGTATCCCGCCGGTGTCCCGTCGGTGTCCCGATGATGATGATGATTATGATGATGATGATGATGATGATGATGATGATGATGATGATGATGGTGGTGATGATGATGATGATCACACGTGTTGATGATGATGACGATGATGATGGTGATGATGATGATGATGATAATGGTGCTGAAGATGATGCTGCTGATGATGATGGTGATAATGATGATGATGATGGTGATGTTGATGGTGGTGATGATGATGTTGATGATGATGTTGATGTTGTTGTTGATGATGATGATGACGACCCGTGTTGATGATGATGATGACGACCCGTGTTGATGATGATGACGATGATGATGATGGTGATGATGATGATGATAATGGTGCTGAAGATGATGCTGATGCTGATGATGCTGATGCTGATGATGATGGTGATGATGATGATGATGATGATGGTGATGTTGATGGTGGTGATGATGATGTTGATGATGATGATGATGATGTTGTTGATGATGATGATGACGATGATGATGATGATGATGATGATGATGATGATGCTGATGATGATGATGATGATGATAATGGTGCTGAAGCTGATGCTGATGATGATGATGGTGATGATGATGGTGATGTTGATGGTGGTGATGATGATGTTGATGATGATGTTGATGACGACCCGTGTTGCTGATGATGATGATGTAAACAACTCGACACCGACGCTCCCAAGAGCGAGCGGCAACGCAACACTCTCCATTGGCATCGTCACGACAACAATCACAACTGTTGCCCATTGCTGGGACCCTCCCCCCCCAACCTCTCTATCACCCGCAGGGTGGTCGTATAGGTATGATTATCATATTCTCGAAGAGGGGTGATTTTCAGGCCGGCAGATGTGAGACAACTGGAGCCGCTGCAATGGAGGCGGGGATAATTCGGTGGCAACTCATGTGGGCCTCCCATACAGTCTTGCTGGCTCTTGCGAACCGACGCTAATCGACGCTCGGTCGGCGCGAATCGACGCCAGGTCGGCGTTATCCCATCGATGGCCAGACGCTAATCGACGCTAGTGCACTCTAAAGACGGAGTTGTGAGGGTATACGAGGCTCCCATGACTTGCTACCCAGAGTCGGTGCACACGCACTCATGACCAGGGCAGGGTGGCGTATGCACAGATATGCGCCGTGGCGGTCGTCGTCCTCGTCGTCCCTCTTCTGGGCATCAGTGCCACAGCGCCGAGGAACGGCGAAGCGTCTGTATAGGTAGTAGCGTTTTGCTCGACCTCGCAGAACAAAAAGGCTACAGCCACGGTTGCAGAAAGTCCTGGCCGAGCACACAAGCATCGTCGCCAGAGCCCGCGTGTTACCCGTTCCTTCAGTCCCCCCATTGGCCCCCAAACCCCGTAGGTCGGCGGCGAGCGAGTGGGGGAAGGAAAGGACGGGCCTTCTCGGAAGGCTCGGAAATCCCCCGGCCTTCCGAGAAGCTTTCGAAGCCTTCCCCGAAAGCAGAGGCAACTTCTCAGAAGAAGGCGCAAGGCCTTTGGAGAAGTCCCGCCCCGCCTTCTGAGGAGGCCTTCTCCTTCTCGCTCTCCCCCCCGCTCACCGCCGAGGATGCGCAGATCTCGGACCTGGGATGTCGGGGGCGGCCAAGAGGGGGGTGTCCAGGAGGGGGGGGCGCAAAATCATGGCCAGCGGCATGTGCGCGGCCCAGGAGATCTCCCCGCCCCCAGTCATCCCCCCCCTGTTTGCAGCCCCCGACCCTCGCTCGCCGCCGAGGATGCGCAGATCTCGAGCCCGGGATGGACCCGCGTGCCCACGGCCAGTGAAGGTGCCCGTGCACAGCGGCCTTCGTGCGAAGGGGCGCGACGTGCGAAGTTAGGCCGCTGAAGACGACGACGACGCCGACGCCGCCGACGACGAGGCCACCGACGATTCCGACGACGACGACGCCGCCGACGCTGCCGACGACGAGGCCGCCGACGACGACGACGACGACGACGAGGATGCGCAGAGCTCGGACCCGGGATGGGCCTGCGTGCCCACGGCCATGAGTATCGTTAACCGATCCCCATCCCCAGCGGCGTGGCCTGGGCCCCACTGGCCGATTTACCCCCTGGATGGGGACATAGGTCGTTCCCTTCGGGTTTCGAGGGGTGCATCCCCCACCTGGGGGGGTAACTTGGTGGGGGTCTCGAAAGGGATGGGCATGGGGATGGGGATCGGTTAAACGATACCGAGGCCAGGGAAGGTGCCGGTGTATAGCGCATGGCCGGCGCCCCGCGGCCGACCGCCCCGATCCCCCTTCTCGGCCGGCGCACCGGCCGGATCGGCGGCCCCCGACCGGGCAGGATTCCAGGAGCTTTGGGTCGGCCATGTCGTCCTCCTACAAACGGATTTGAACAGAATTTTTGGTGCAGTAAAAACAATCAGAAGTAGTGCAACATCCGCCGGCCCCGTTGCCGGGCCACCAGGCTGCGAGAGTGAGGATTGCGGCTCCCTGTTCCAGGTGCAGATTCCTGTTTCCACTGTCAAAGTCCTGCTTTCTGCTACCTTACTGTCAATTGTTGCTGTCCGCGCGAGGGGTGGGAACCCCAAACAAGAGTTTTTTTTTACCACGCCCTGGGAGGTTTCTCCGAATCCGTGGTGGGGCGTGGGACATGGAATAAATACATGATGTTCGCGTCCCCGAGGCCATATCCCTAGCAGATTGCGCCATATTCGCTCCCCGAGGCCATAAACCCTTGTAAATTATGCATTATTCGCGTCCCCCGAAGTCATCATCTCCTAGTCAATTTCATGATGTTTCCGTTCCCGCAGCCATGAGCCCTTGTGACTTAAACAACATTCGCGCCCCCAAAGCCATAAACCCTTTAAGATTCTACAATATTCGCGTCCCCAGGGCCATCAACACACCCTCGTAAATGACACCGTGCTTGCGTCCCCGAGGCCATACCCACTTGTAGATTACACAATGTTTGCGCCCCCGATGCCGTACAACCCCCTCGTAAGTTACGCAGCATTTGCGTCCCCGAGGCCACAATCCCTCGTAGATTTTATGCAATGTTCGCGTCCCCGACGCCATAAACCATTGTAAACTACTTTGTATTCTCGCCACCTAAGCCATAAACCCTCGTAAATGAATCTTGGCCCTCGCGTGAAGTTCCGACATTGCTTCACGTCAGCGTCCAGACATCCCGACACAGCTCTGGCAAGTCCCATTCTAGGAGAAGGGGGCCGGCGGCAACGGGGGCAAAGCCCTTACGGATAATCAATAAATCGTCCCCATCTTTTTTTGTTGGAACTATTTTTGAATATTCTTCCTGTAGGGGGACATGCCCGACTTAAGGATCGGCGGCCCCCGACCAGGCAGGATTCCGGTAGCTTGCCATCGCCCGGGCGTCCATGCCCCGTGCGTTTTTCGTTTTCGTGTGCGGCTTTCTGGCCCGATGATCCAAGATGCTCCTCGACGGTCCCCGCCGGGAAGAACATGCACACGTCCGAGCCATGCCGAGGGATTCCAGTAGAGTTAGGTCGGGCCTGTCCCCCTACAGGGGGATTTTGGGTGACACAATTACAGATACTCAAAACATACTCCAAACATCGGCAAACATCCGCCGACCCTGTGTCGGCGTATGTGAGGGGCTTGTCCGTTCCCATCGTTCGTTCGTCGTCGTCTCCGTCGTCTCCTGTCCCTGCGCCCACCCTTTCCCTGGGCCAGTCGTCTCCTGTCCCTGCGGCGCTCCCCCTTTCCCTGGGCCCGTCTCCTTCCCTGGGCCCGTCGCCGCTCCCCCCCCGTTTTTCCAGGGCCTCCCCCTCAAGAGCAACGTTGTCATTGAATCGAAGGGAAGCCTCTTCTTCCCTTTGATCCCTTCCCTGCAGGAGGGGGTCCCGCGTCAGATACGACTCCCCCCCCTGGGGGTCCCGGGGCCCACACAAAGCCTCAGACGGGCCAAGAGCTGAGGCATTCTACCACGCCCTCTCCTCCCTCCCTCCAGAACCGAACCGGCCTCCTGGAGGCTCGGCCACGGGACACCCCAGGACTCAGAATTCCGAGGTCCCCGGGATCCTCCAGGACCCAGCCCCGAGGACCTCCTCCCGGGACCCAGCACCAGGAACCAGCCCCCTAAAAAGTCCAGGACTCCCAAGCCCCAGGCCACAGGACCACTTCTGCATTATGCGGCCCTGCTCGCCTCGTCCTGATCCTATTCATTTCCTCCTCCTCCTCCTCCTCCTGCCCCCTCCTGCTCCCTGACGTCCTCCGCCTCCTGCTCCTCAACGTCCTTGTCCTGCTCGTCGGTTCCGTCTGCAGGGTCGGCGGCACCGGCCGTAAGGCCTTCGCAATAGTCAAAAAATCGCCCCCAGACTATTCTCAGACTAGTTTTTGAATAGTCCTCCTGTGGAGGGACAGGCCCGACTTCACAGTGGAGGGCCAGACAGCTGCATAAACATACTTTTTTGGAGGTCCGCGCGCGGACTTCGTGGCTCGGCGCTGACACCCTCGCTGGCGCGCCGGAGGCGCCGCCAGGGGGCGGCGCCGGAGTCGCGGCCGCCAGGCGGGCCCGCCGCCGATCCGAGAGATCCGCGCGGCGCGCCGAACACTTACGTTTATGCAACTTCTTCATCATCATCATCTTCTTCTTCTGGAGGGCAGAACATCCACCCCGATAATAACCATCCCGACACGCGAAGAAGTTTCGTAAACGCGCCCAAGAAAGACTCGAACAGGGCAGGGCTGTTTCGTAAACGCCCAGGGCCGTTTAGTAAAAGCCACTTGTCTGGTCCGGGTGGTTTTTCCTCCCTTGATTCTTTTTCTTCTTTGGCGATTCTTCTTCTTCTTCTTCTTGTTCTTAATCTTCTTCTTCTTCTTCTTTTGGCGGCACGCACAAGGGGGTGGAGGGAGGGTGGAGGGCTTCTGAGAAGGAGGCTGCTCCTTAGAAGGCGCCGGCCTTGCATCTATAGATACGGCCCGCGCATTCTTCTTCTTCTTCTTCTTCTTCCTCTTATTCTAGAGGGCAGAACATCCACCCCGATAGTAACCACCCCGACACGCGCAGCCGTTTCGTAAGCGCGCCCGAACAGAGAACTTCGAACAGGGCAGGGCTGTTTCGTAAACGCCCAGGGCCGTTTAGTAAACGCCAGTTGTCTGGTCCGGGTGTTTTTTCCTCCGTTGATTCTTCTTCTTCGGCGATTCTTCTCCTTCTTCTCCTTCATCTTCTTCTTCTTTTGGTGGCGCGCACAAGGGGGTGGAGGGAGGGGGGAGGGCTGCTTAGAAGCAAGCTGCTTCTTAGAAGGCGCCGGCCTTACATCTATAGATGAGGCCCGCGCCTTCTAAGAAGCAGGGTGCTTCTAAGAAGCCCTTCCCCCTCCCCCTACCCCCCTCTGCGCGTGGCCGATCTTCTTCTTCTTCTTCTTCTTCTAGAGGGCAGAACATCCACCCCGATGATAATCACCCCGACACGTGAGGCCGTTTAGTAACCGCGCCCAAAGAAGGAATCGAACAGGGCAGGGCTGTTTCGTAAACGCCCAAGGCCGTTTAGGAAACGCCGAATTTGTCCGGTCCGGGTGTTTTTTCCTCTCTTGATTCTTCTTCTACTGTTTCGGCGATCGGCTTAGGTCGGCCGTGTCCCCCTACAGGCGGATTTTGGACGAAAAATAAAACATATTCAGACAACATATTCAAACAATACCCAACAATAATAACAACAACTGCCCCCTGACTATTTTTGAACTATTTTTGAATTTCTTCGTGCCCAAAGAAGGGATCAAACAGGGCAGGGCTGTTTCGTAAACGCCCAGGGCCGTTTAGTAATCGCCGACTGTCCGGTCTGGGTCATTCTTCTTCTTCTTCGGCGATTCTTCTTCTTCTTCTTCTTCTTCTTATTCTTATTCTTTTTCTTTTGGCGGCGCGCACAAGGGGGTGGAGGGAGGGGGGAGGGCTGCTTAGAAGGAGGCTGCTTCTTAGAAGGCGCCGACCTTACATCTACAGATGAGGCCCGCGCCTTCTCAGATGCAGGGGTGCTTCTAAGAAGCCCTCCCCCCTCCCCCTACCCCCCTCTGCGCGTGGCCGATCTTCCTCTTCGACGATCGGCGGCCCCCGACCGGGCCAGATCCCGGGGCCACCCCGGGCGCGCGGCGCAGCGGCTCGGGAAGCGGTAGGCGCACACGGCCGCGATGATGGAGCCCCAGTCGCCGCCCTGCGCGGCAGCCGCCCGCTCCCGCCCTGCCGGGGGCTCGAGGGCGAGAAGGTCTTAGTCGGGCCGGGCGGCAGGGGGGGGATGGCAAAGGGAGGGTTTGAGAATCAGCTCACGCAGCTGGTTTTCCCGGCGCCTCGCGGCGCCGGAGGCGCCCATGTGTCGAGGAATGGGCCCGGCGGCGGGGCCGAAACCAGCTGCATGCAGCAGATTGCGTACCCCCCCCCTTTCCCTATCCCCCCCCTTGCGTTCGGCCCGAGTCTTGGGCGTCGTTTCGCCCATCGTGGGCCTCCTGGGGGGCTTCTCGCTGCCGCGGCCCCAGACACGCGCGGGCCACAGAAAGAATCAGGGCATCTTGGTGGAAATCTTTGGCTTCCAGGGGCCCGCGCCCGGCACTGTGGCTGTCAAGAGAACGACCCAGGACGAAGAACCGGCACCAGTGGAAGGGTCGGGACTCCTGGGGATCGCCTGTCTGGGGCGGGATTCCCCACCCGAGATGTCAGAACGCGACTCTTGGAGAGGTCTTGGGCTGGAGTTTCGAGGAGGATGAGGATGAGGATGAGGATGAGGATGGGTATGGGTATGGGTATGAGGATTAGGATTAGGATGAGGATGAGGAGGAGGAGGAGGAGGAGGAGGAGGAGGATGATGATGATGATGATGATGATGATGATGATGATGATTATGATGATGATGCTGCTGATGATGAAGATGAGGGTGAGGAGGAGGAGGAGGAGGAGGAATATCCAGGATCGACTTTCTTCCCCAAGATGTGCTCGCAATTAGGGTCTCTAGCTTCTTTTCTAAGGGGCTTGGCCTGCTTGCCACTCTGGCGGCTACGCGGCCGCCCCGTCGCCGCCCCGTCGCCGCCTCGTCGCCGCCCGTCGTCTGGGCCTGTCTGCCGCTCTGGCGGCTGTGTGGCCACCCCGTCGCCGCCCGTCGTCTGGGCCTAGCTGTCGGCCTGGCGGCTGCGTTGTCGCCGTTGCCGCCCCGTCGCCGCCCTAGATTGCTCAACATTGATTGCGCCGCAAAGATCGCACGACGCAGATTGCATCGCACAGATGGCACAACATATTTTGCACCACATATACTGCACCGTTTAGGCTGCACCATGTTTCTTGTACAACATGGATTGAAAGCATTGTTTGTATCACATGTGCTGCAACATAGACGACACTTAGACTGCACTACATAGCTTGTACATTATACATTGGACACCATCGTTTTGCATCACGCAATAGACGGCACAACACATATTGCTCCACATAGAGTGCACACAGTATTTTATGACACCAAATTGATTTCACCACATAGATTGCACAGCACGTTGCACTACGTAGATTGCACATCATATATTGCTTGAATCACCCTGTTTGGGGTCCACGCTGGCTAAAGCTTTTACGCTTGAGCAAACTTTTGGACCTCGGGGGGCGTTCTCGTCGACACGTTCAGGGTCCCCCGAAGATGGGGAGAGAGAAGGTCGCGCGAATCCGCCGAACGAGCCGCCCAAGCCCGGCTACTCTGGAGCAGGCGCAGGAGGAGGGGGAGGAGGAGGCGCAGCAAGAGGATGCGTCTTGATTCTTCGCAATGCTTCGCAGTCCCTGTCCCTGTTCACCCCTCCCCAGAGGTGTACAAATCCCAGCCGCCAGGGTGGTAATTACGAGCTCCTGGCGCTCGGAAGTTCAGCTGCAAGGGGGGTGCGAGCTCGTCGGAGGTCCTCCTGAGCAGACTGCCAGCCGGCACCAGATAAAGAGGTCCATGCCAAGAAGTACCCTACTCGCCTCCAGGGTGCCCTGGGTTTCTTGGGCTTCGATGGTTTTGCGATGGGAAGCGCGACGCTCCCATCCAACGGAAAGGTCGGCAGAACGGCGCAAGCCTCCAGGACCCCGCCCGGCCACTGACCCCGCCCGGCCACTGGGCCACTGGCGGGTGCCACTTCAACTCCGCGGCACTCTTGGGCCGTCTCTGTTCTAATGTTGACCAGACTCGAAGCCATTTCGGGCCTCCTGCGGGGCCGTCGAGGACTCCGTTGTGCATGCCTTCAGCCCCTCTTGGGCCCTCCTTCGGCTCGTCCGGCGAGAACCGTGGAGGGCAGGCGGTGAACGCGAAGCCTCTTGGATACTGAGCGTAGCCCAGCTGCAACATGAGATCGTTCATGTGCTCCGCCATGAACGCGACGTCTGCGCCAGGCTCGGTGGGCGCGTCGCTCCACCCGAAGCCTGGTATCGAGGGCGCCACTACGTGGAAACCAGCGTCACGCAACCGAGGAATGACCTGGTCGTCGCCGTGGTCGTCGCCGTCGCCGCCGCCGTGCTCGTCGTGATCGCCATCGCGTCGTCGTGGTCGCCGTGGCCACGGACCTTCGTAAATTCCACCACCGATCCTGGCCAACCGTGGACGAGCAGGAGAGGAATTGCATCTGCCCGGCTCGAGCGTTCGTGTACGAAGTGGATCCGCAGACCGTTGATCCTCATCTTGAAGTGCGACAACGCGTTCAATTTAGCTTCCTCCTTGCGCCAGTCGTACACCTCAAGCCAATACTTGACAAACTCAGCCAATGTGCTGCGGTCTGTACCGTAAGACCAGCTGCCGTTATCATCGAACCGACCAGCCCCAACCTCATTAGGAACAATGCGCGACTTTGACAGACGAGATTTCAAATCGTCCAGAACATCATCGTGTACTTGTATTTTTAAAGGCTCCGCAGAGGCCATCACAGATACGTATGATATTGCCACTCGATGTCGTACCGCTTGAACCAACGTGATCCGAATGAATATGCACCGTGGGCCGAACAGGCTCGAGCCAATGACTTGAGGCTCAGTGGTTTCGAACCGCAATCCAAGTTCTCTTGAAGGATCAGTGAACAACGCCACCGGCACCACCAGGGTGAAGGAACGGAAGCAATTCATAATGGTTTGTGATATTGCCTTTTCGGTCGTCTTGCCCGGTGTGCACACCCAACCACCATCTCGGGGATGCTCAGTTGTATTTGATGAATATCTTGGTCTCCATTCTCGTACTTCCGACACAATTTTCCGAGATTCCAGATAATTTCCGAACACCAGCCAAAACCCTCCAAGACCTCTGTAAGCATTCTGTACTCTCCGGAAACCTTTGCCCAACGCCCTCCTCCTTCGCCATCCCCCTTCCTTACAAATGGCCCCCCGAACTACCAAACGTGCTCGTAGGCCGCTGAGCGCCTCGCTCGAGAGATCTTAGCACATGTCGCAAGTTGTTACCATGAAGCCTCCAAGAACACCAGCGGTTTCCAAGATGGAGGGCCCGTAGTCTCCAAAATGTGGCTCTTGCCTTTTAGCGTCGCGCTCACTCGTCTGACTGCACGGTCTCCTGGGGCCGTAGGCGGTAGGCGACAAGAGGAGGAGGAGAAGGAGGAGGAGGAGGAGGAGGAGGAGGAGGAGGGGGAGGGGGAGGCAGAGGAGGAGGAGGAGGAGGAGGAGGAGGAGGAGGAGGAGGAGGTGGAGGAGGCGGAGAAGGAGGAAGAGGAGGAGGTGGTGGAGGATGAGGAGGAGGAGGGGAGGAGGGGGAGGAGGTGGAGGAGGAGGAGGAGGTGGAGGAGTGGGAGGAGGAGGAGGAGGAGGAGGAGGAGGAGGAGGAGGAGGAGGTGGATGATGATGATGATGATGACGATGTGATGATGATGATTGATGATGATGATGATGATGCTGGATGATGGTGGTGTGATGATGAAGACGATGATATGATGATGATGATGATGATGATGATGATGATGATGATGATGATGATTGATGATGATGATGATGATGATGATGCGATGAGGAGGAGGAGGAGGGGCGGAGGAGGCGAGGAGGAGGAGGAGGACGGGGAGGAGGAGGTGGAGGAGGGGGAGGAGGAGGAGGAGGAGGAGGAGGAGGAGAGGGGGAGGAGGAGGATGAGAATGGGGGAGGAGGAGTGGAGGAGGAGGGGGAGGGGAGGAGATGGAGGAGGAGGGATGAGGAGGAGGAGGGAGGATGAGGAGGAGGAGGGACGAGGAGGAGGAGGAGGAGGAGGAGGAGGAGGAGGAGGAGGAGGGAGGAGGTGGAGGGTGAGAGGAGATAGAGGAGGGGGAGAGGAGGAGGAGGAGGAGGAGGAGGAGGAGGAGGAGGAGGAGGAGGAGAGGAGGAGGAGGAGGAGGAGGAGGAGGAGGAGGAGGAGGGAGGAGGAGGAGGAGGAGGAGGAGGAGGAGTGAGGAGGAGGAGGAGAGGAGGAGGAGGAGGGGAGGAGGAGGAGGAGAGAGGAGGAGGAGGTGGAGAGGCAGGAGCAGGAGGAGAGGAGGAGGAGGAGGAGGAGGAGGAGGAGGAGGAGGATGAGGAGGAGGAGGGGGAGGAAGACGAGTCTCGGCAAGGGGGGCCTCGCTGCAGTCGAGGAGGAGGGGGGGAAGAGGAGGAGAGGGAGGAGGGGGAGGAGGAGGGGGAGGAGGAGAAGCAGGAGGAGGCGGGGGAGGAGGAGGCGAGGGAGGAGGAGGAGGAGGAGGAGGAGGAGGGGGCAAACACGGCATCATCATGTAAAAAATTGGCGCTCCGCGCGGATTTCTTGGATCCGCGCTGGGCCCCAAGATGGCTCAAGAGAGCTCAAGAGGGCCCAAGAGGGCCCAAGAAGAGAAGAAACAACGGCATAACCATAAACTTCTGGCGCTCCGCGAAGATTTTCTTGGATCCGCGCGGAGCGCCACACATTTAGATGTATATGCCGTTTTTTCTTCTTCGATTCAGGGCCATCGCCAGAGAGAAGGCTCTGCAGCGGTCTCGCCCGAGTCGAGGCACACCCCCCGACACTGCAACAGGAGGGAGGGGCCTTCCCCCCGTTCCTCCTCGTCCTCCTGCTCCGACGACGGCGGCCATGGAAGCACCGCTGGCGAGAGAGAGAGAGAGAGAGGGGGAACAAAAAGAAGAGAGCGACGACGACCACGAGTTGGCGGCGCGCACAAGGGGGTGGAGGGAGGGGGAGGGCTTCTTAGAGGGAGGCTGCTTCTTAGAAGGCGCCGGCCGTACATCTATAGAGAAGGTCCGCGCCTTCTAGGAAGCAGGGGTGCTTCTAAGAAGCCCTCCCCCTTCCCTCTGCGCGTGGCTGAACGACGACGCCGACGACGCCGACGGCTCCGGCAGCGACGGCGGCGGCAGCGGCGACGACGACGGCCGGCCCAGCTCCATCCGGGCGCGGCGGCCCTCACGACGGCCGCGAGGCCGCGGCCCCGCGGCGGCGGGGCGGGCTGGGAGCCCTGTGGCTGCTTGGGCGGCGCGGTGAGGCGAGGAAGAACTGCTCAACAGAAGGGGTGGAGGCGGAGGAGGAGGAGGAGGAGGCGGAGGAGGAGGCGGAGGAGGAGGAAGGAGGAGGAGGAGGAGGAGGAGAGGAGGAGGGGGGAGGAGGAGGAGGAGGAGGAGGCGGAGGAGGGGAGGAGGAGGCGGAGGAGGCGGAGGCGGAGGAGGAGGAGGAGGAGGAGGAGGAGGAGGAGGAGGGAGGACGGGAGGGAGGGAGGGAGGGAGATGAAGAGGAGGAGGAGGAGGGAGGAGGAGGAGGAGGAGGAGGTGAGGAGGAGGGGAGGAGGAGGAGGAGGAGGAGGAGGAGGGAGGAGGAGGAGGGAGGAAGGCAAGGAGGAGGAGGAGGAGGAGGAGGAGGAGGAGGAGGAGGAGGAGGAGGGAGGGAGGCAAAGAGGAGGGGGAGGCGCAGGAGGATGAGGGGATGGGGCGGGGGCACGGGGAAGCGGAGCGAAGCGAACGCCGGGGAGCGGGGGAGCGGGGGAGGCGGGGGCGCGGGATGCGCGCGCTCCTCCAAGGAGCTCGCCCGTGCCCATGAGGGGGCGCGGGGAGGCAAGGTGGGAGCAAGGCAGGAGTTCTCTGTATCTGCTTTGGTTCAAGACTTTTCTGGGGACTCTGATCCCGAGAAGAGCTCAAGACGGCCCAAGATTGCCCCGAATATGGCCTCCAAGACGGCCAAGCTGGCCTCCAAGATGATGCGTCCAAGACGGCCAAGAAGGCCTCCAAGACAGCGAAGATGGCCCTAAGATGCACCCGACACGGTCCCAGATGCCCACCCCCCGCGGCCAGATGGTATCAGCCTGTCCGCTTCCATAGCAATCGCGCAAGCACAGCCTTGGCGCAGACCAGCCCACGACGAACGCCCATGCTTCCCAGTGCCCAAAATGTGGACGCAAGAAGAACCCTTCGTGGCAGAAGCGGTGCCTCATCAGCAGAGGGCGCGCCCGGCCTTTTTTTCCTCTGCGGGCCGAGGAGGCGGAACCAGTCAGCAACGTTTAGCTTGAGACACCTTGAGTATTCTCGCGGTCGTGGACCGCGACCCTGCCATGCCGCCGCCAGCCCAAGCAGGAGACGCACTGACCGCTGGGCACTGTCGCCCACATGAGAAAAGCGCCACGCGAGCATGCGGGCGCAAACGGCCGCCACGTCGTGCATCAACGCCCAGCCGCTTCGCGTCCCCTGCCAGCTGCCGCAAGCAGCCTACGCCCACAGTTGGGCCACGCGCGCATCCAGCCAACGGTTAGGCACCAGGACGTTGCCGCGAGAGCCGCTGGGGAAGCAAGCAGGATTCACTCCGCATTCAGGAGTCGAAAGCATATGCATGGAGGCAAAAACGAGCTCACCGTTGAGCTATGAGCGGTATGCCTCGTGCTGCCCTAGCAGGCAACGCGAGAAAACATAAGAGCCAGCAGTGGCTGCAGCCTCGCGTGCCCGCGCGCGGAGAGCGCGCGCCAGGGGCAAAACGTTGGACTCTATCTGACCACAGAAGAGCCAGCAGAGGCGGCGACGGTTTAGCCACAGATAAAGCACAACGGATGCCTTAGCCCGCGTTGGCATCCTTCGATGCCGTTTTACGGGCCTGCACTCTCGCGAGCAAAGCCGCCCTCCTCTCGTTCTGGGGGAGGGCGGAGAGGCCTGCGTGCTGCTGCGACGACGCGGGCCTGGACGCATCAAGAGGCGGTGGCGTCTGCGCAGCGTGGCGTGACAATTCGCGCCCCGCCTAGACGAGCGGGGCGTCCTCTCGGAGGCGGAGGAGGGGGAGGAAGAGGGGGAGGAGGAAGAGGGGGAGGAGGAGGAGGAGGAGGAGGAGGAGGAGGAGGAGGAGGTTCCTATAATGGGGATGGAGGCCTGACGTTGCGATGGCAGAATGCCCGCGGCGCCCACCTGCGGCGCGGGCGCCTCCAGACATCCGACGAAGACGACGGCCCACTCCAGGCGCGCGAAGATCACGACGGCCACCTCCGGGCACTCGGAGCTGGCGAGCTCCAGGCTCGCGAGGAGGACGACGGCCACCTCCAGGAGCACGAAGAACACGATGGCCACTCGAACGCCCTTGAACGCCTCCAGGCCCTTGATCGTCACCAGGCCCTCGCCCGCGCCGAGGCCCCCTGTCGCGTCCAGGCCCGGGGATCACGAAGGGCACCTCCGCGCGCCCGGAGCCGACGGCTGTCACCTCCAACTTCATCAGGGAGCTGGGGGGGCCCAGGCGGCGGTCCACCGTGTGCGCGATCCTTCCCAGGCGCACGACAAAGACGACGGTCATCTCTGAGCACGCGAGAACATTGATGGTCACCTCCAGGCACACGAAGATCACGATGGTCACCTCCAGGCCCTGGAACGCCGACGGACGCATCGAGGCCCTTGACCACCGCCAGGCCCTGGATCCCCTCCAGGCCCACTACGGCATCCAGGCCTAGGATCACGGCCATCAACTTCTCGCACTCGATCGTGTCGATGGATTCCTCCATGCGCTCGTAGATGCCGACGGGCACCTCCAGGCACAAGAAGGTCGGGGCGGTCACCTCCATGCGCTCGCATAACATGTCGGTCACCTTCAGGCGCTCGCAGATCACGCCGTTCACTTCCAGGTAGTCGGTGATGACGGCGCTCACCTCCAGGTCCTGGAGCACTTCGAGGCCCTAAATCACCACCGGGGCCTCAATCGCATCCAGGTTCACGATCGCGGGCGAGTCCTGCGCGGCAAACGCCTCAGAGCGCCAGCTGACGACATCGGCATCGACACGTACCACGAACAGGGCGCCGTCGGAGTTCAGCTTCGCACCCCCGGTGAACTCGCCACTCATCAGCACCACCGAACTCCCATGGCTCGCAGGGACTGCTGGCGTTTCGAAGAAGATCCCTGCAAGGCCCGAGAAACGCTCGAGCCCGAAACGCCTGCGCGCCTGGCTTGTGGCACCGAGAGAGGTCTGGAGGAATGATGGGTGCGGGGGGGGAGCGAAAGTCGGCAAAGGGTCACTGCACCGACCTTGCAGACGTGCTGTAATGGACTTTTGCGTGGGTTCCTGTCAATGCAAAACCCCGAAAGGGCGAGTGAAAAACGAAGTGAGTTTCGTGTCTTCAGTTCTGGCCCCCCAAAAAAACCGCACGAAATTCACCTCGAAATCCGGAACGAACTTTTCCAGGGCACTCCGGGCCCATTCTATCGTTTTGCGAACGAAAGTCAGCAAATGGGGGTGGAGCATGGGCAAAGCAACGAGTACGGCAAGTTCGTGGATCGTTCTAGTCTTGAGAGCGATCGGCGGTTATTCGATCGCCAGATTTTTCACACTGGCCGATCCTTTTTTCCCTGCAACACATCCAATCTTGTATGCCTGAGGTGATCCAGCAAGGCGGCAGTGCCAAGCACCAGGTAATTACGCGTGGTCCGAAGAACAACTCCTCCCTGCCGCACGAAACCCCAAATCCGTGCAGCCAACCAGAGTGAACCGACTCATGCTTTCACAGTGCGCCGTTGAGCGGGCCAAGCTCCGTCCCACAAGAACGCGCCGCCGCCCTGGCATAAGCCGTACTGGCCGATTCTGGACCACTGGCAACGCTCAATCTATCTCGAACGCCTGCGGCGGGGTCGCCGCTGCCGTACGATGAAGGGTCCGCAGAGGCCTCCTAGATGAGGTCGGCGTAGGTGGGGTCGGAGGCTCGCGCCGCATCGCCGATACATGGGCGGTGTGTCGGCGACGTATCGGCGATGCATCGGCGATGCAGCGTCGACATCGGCGGTGCATCGGCGACGTCGACGTGAGGCAGATCGGGTTCCACATCGAGCCGCATCACCGACGCCTCGGCGATGCGGCGCGATCCTCCAACCCCATCTTAGAAGACCAGAACCATACACACTGGGCTTGACCTCGTCGAAGACGAACAAGGCGAGAAATAACAAATGGCAATCGTGCCCCCGCTCTCCAAAGATCCGGTGCCGAGGGCCGGGGGCTGGGGGCAGGCCAGAGGAGGTGGGACGAACGACGACCACCACGACGACGACGATGGCAACGGCAACGACAACGACGACGACGAAGACGACGATGACGACGACGAGGACGAAGGACGACGACAATGACGAGGACGACAGTGACGACGACGACGAGGACGACGAAGACGACGATGAGGACGACGACGACGAAGGACGACGACGACGACGACGGTGACGACGGCGAGCACGGCACCGAGTCCCCGCGGCCGAGGTTCCCAACACAGCTGCGCGAAAGAGAGCGAAGGCTTCGCGGGCTGGGGCGAGGCCCCATGGGGTCAGGGCGAGGCTCGGGGGCCGGGGGCTCGACCACCACGGCCACGACGGGCGAAGTAGTGGAAGTGAAAAGGAGGAGGAGGAGGAGGAGGAGGAGGAGGAGGAAGAGGAGGAGGAGAAGCAGGAGAAGGAGGAGGAGGAGGAGGAGGAGGAGGAGGAGGGAAGGAGGAGGAGGGAGGAGGAGGAGGAGGAGGAGGAGGAGGAGGAGTGAGGAGGAGGAGGAGGTGCATGAGGAGGAGGAGGTGAGGAGGAGGAGGAGGGGGAGGAGGTGATATGGGAGGAGGAGGAGGAGGAGGAGGAGGGAGGGGGGAGGAGGAGGAGGAGGGAAGAGGGAGGAGGAGGAGGAGGAGGAGGTTGAATGAGGAGGGGAGGAGGAGGAGGGGAGGAGGTGAATGAGGAGGAGGAGGAGGAGGAGGAGGGGAGGAGGAGGAGGAGGAGGAGGGGGAGGAGGTGAATGATGATGATGAAGATGATGATGATGATGATGATGAGGAGGAGGAGGAGGAGGAGGAGGAGGAGGAGGAGGAGGAGGAGGAAGAGGAGGAATAGGAGGAGGAGGACGAGGAGGAGGAGGACTCGTCCCCCTACGCGCCCCCGCCCGTCGCAGCACCTTCGCCGCCGCCGCTTCGGCGAAAGGCGGCAAGGCCATGCGACAGCGAGGCGGAATGCCACTTACCACCAGCATCAGGGCAGTGGCGCAGCATGCGTGATGTGTCAGCATGCGTGTCTCGTGCGTGAGATTTACTATCGCTTAGGTGGTCTTCTCACTCATTAGGTCTTACTGCGTATAGCGTGGTGCGCACCTTCGTTCATCTGTGCCCGAAGAGAGGGGGAGGAGGGGGAGGAGGTGAAAGAGTAGGGCGCCGCGGTACTACCAGAACCTGACCTCATCTGTGATGCCGTGGCGGAGGTGGAGGTCCGTTCCCCACGCATGAGGGAGGAACCTCGCGCGCCCCCGCCTCTTCGGTCGCGAGCCCTCTGCCTTCGCCGCCCCCCCCCCACCCTGCTCCTGCGCTCCGCTGCCCCTGCCCGCTGCCCCTCTGCCTTCCGGCGCCCCTGCCTGTCTCTGCCCCCGTCCTGCGCCTCCTGCGGCCGCGCGCCCCTTGCCCCCTTCGTCGTCGTCAAAGTCGTCCTCGTCCTCGTCGTCGTCGCCGTTCCTTCGTCGTCGTCGTCGTCGTCGTCGTCGTCGTCGTCGTCGTCGTCGTCGTCGTCGCAGACCACCGCGCGGGCACGCCGCGCGCGCCCAGCCGGCCGAAGGCGCCAACCATTTTCCGAAGCGGGGCGGGCCGCGGCAGCTTCAGGGCGCCCGTCGCCCCCCTTGGCGCGGGCGGCGTGGGCTGGGGCCCCTCCGCCCCCCAGGGGGCGGCCCGGCCCCGCGGCGGCAGCGAGGCCCGCCTGCCCTTTGTCGGCATCCACCAAAAGGGGGTGACACTGAGGGGGGGCATGAGTTCGATCCGTTGGCGCACCGGCCCGCCGCAAACGGATGCCCCCCCGCCCGCCCCAGCCGTCAGCAGCGGTCGGGTGCTGCCTTCGGCTGGGGGCACCTGCTCGGGGCGGTTCGGTGCAGATGCCGATCGAACTCGCACCCCTCCCGGGGCCCCCCTTTCTTTGCGGGATCCCGACTCTGGGCCCGAGGTCGGCCCCACGCAGGCGCGAGCCTGCCGCCAGAGTGCCCCCGGTGCGGGGCCTGCAGCCCGTCGCGCGCGGGGCGAGGCGAGAAACGGCGGCCCGCGTGCTTCAGGGCTCGTCGCCCCGACGGGCGGGCACCACCCGTCGCTCTGGCGAAGGGCCACTTGCACGTGGAGCCGGCCAGGACGAGGGGCGGCCGACGTCGGGCGCGAGAGGATCTCCGAAGGCCAGCGGAGCCCAGAGGATGTGCTGGGCGCCCCCCCCCCAATCAGAGCTCTCCCGACCCCAACATGGCCCTGGCTTCGGCGCCTCTCGGCCCATGACCGTGCATCGGCCGTGCTGCAACCTCCCCTCTTGAGTGAGTGGGCCCTCGGGGCCTCCACCTCCTCCTCCCCCCCCTCCCCTCCTCTTCTCCTCTTCCCTCCCCCACCCTCCCCTCCTCTTCTCCTCCTCCTCCTCCTCCTCCTCCTCCTCTCCTCCTCCTCGTCCTCGTCCTCGTCCTCGTCTTCGTCCTCCTCCTCCTCCCTCCTAACTTTTCCTTCCTTTCGTCCTCGTCCTCATCCGCGTCCTCGTCCTCCTCCCCTCCCTCCCCCTCCCCCTCTCCTGCCTACTCCTCCGCCCCCACCCGGCCGCATACT